ATTCTCTTTACTCCACGAACGACGGCGAACAATGGTGAAAAAAGGCAAGGAACCGGCGCGCATGGGTATGAACTCAGTGTATTTTGTATTATAGACTCGGAATAAACCTTTTTGTGTTTTTTTTTTTTTTTTGATGATCGGTGTATACTAAATAGGTATTAGAGTATTTACAGTGCCCTACATGCTTCCACTCGTCCATATCATTTTGTTCTGTGCATTGTCATCGGCATCGTATAATATATTTCAATAAATACTGGTGTAATGGTGTATTTTACCTTGTGTTTGTGTTGTTGACTGTATTGTATATTTCATTAACTACTGGTGTATTCTGAACTACGTCACTTGAATAGAGTAAGAAACATTGTTGTGTGTTTAATTTTGATTTTGGTGTATTTTACCTTGTGTTTGTGTTGTTGACAGTAGTGTATATTTCAATACCTACTGGTGTATTCTGACTTACGTCACTTGAATAGGGTAAACAACATTGTTGTGTGTTTTATTTTGATATTGGTGTATTTTACATTGTGTTTGTGTTGTTGAATGTAGTGTATATTTCAATAACAACTGGTGTATTCTGAACTACGTCACTTGAATAGGGTAAACAATATTGTTGTGTGTTTTATTTTGATATTGGTGTATTTTAAATTGTGTTTGTGTTATTGACTGTAGTGTATATTTCAATGTAGTGTATATTTCAATAAGTAATGGTGTATTCTGAACTACGTCACTTGAATAGAGTTAACAACATTGTTGTGTGTTTTATTTTGATATTGGTGTATTTTTCAACATTGAACTTATGTCATGCAGACACCAAGAGGAAGGCATTAGAACTAGAAGACCCCCCAGCAGCAAAACATATAAGGAAGCAGCAAGCCCTTGAATTCATTGATAGAATCCAGAATGAGCTGCAAAGTGAGGATACTGAGCAACAAAATCAAGATGAGTCCAGCTCAAATGATGAGGCAGACGTACTGGATGATGAAGACAAAGAAACTGGCCTAAAGATACGATCCCTTCCCACACAATTAATGAACCCAATTGCAGATCTAACTGATCAGCAACGCAAAAGTGTAGAGGAAATTGGACTAGGGAGACTTCTTGACCTGAATATTACCAATGTGCCAAGGAAGTTGGGGCTCTGGCTTGTTCAAAACTATGATGCTAGGAGCAACACATTAAACCTGCCCACTGGTGAACGACTCCCCATCACAGAACATGATGTTGCTGCCACAATGGGGCTGCCGATGGGAGGCATAGAAATTGTGAAGAGGGCATCCAAGGAGGTATCTAAACTCTTGACTGGCTGGAGAGCAATGCTTCGAAAGAATAACGGCCACATCACCCCCCACGTTATGTCTGAGCATATGTTGACACTAAAAGCTACTGACCCTTGGTTCAAAAGGCACTTTGCACTGCTTGTTATGAGTGTATTGGTTGAGCCCCAAGTCAATGGTTATGTCAACCAAAACTACATTGACAACTTCCAAAATGTTGACAACATCAAGAATCTAAATTGGTGTAGAATGCTCATCAATTCGCTCATCACCAGCAAGCAGGCATGGCTGGACAGTGTTGATGGAAGATACGGAGGACCAATTATTTTCCTGATGGTAAATATACTACCAGCAAGATGCATCTAATTTATTACCCACTGATCGATTAATAATCTAAAATGCAAAATGCAGATATTCTATGTTGACCGTGTGGTGCTCTACCGGAGGACAGTCCCAAGAAGCTTCCCTACCATGAAGAGCTGGACATTTAAGCTACTCCGTCAACGAGAACAAGCTGAGATAAAATCTGGCGGCTTTGGATATGGTCGTCTTGATGATGACTTGCCATTGGACAGCACACCATTCAAAGAAGGAAGTCCCCCATTAATACAATCTGATGTTCTACCCCAACCACTGCCTACTGAAACTAATGCACCACTTCCCACTGTGTTACACGTAAAATAGACCACTTGAATCATATTCATGGTGTACTCCTTATATCTCTTTTACTGTTTTTAAACCTATAGACTGTTGAGCATCTTACAATGGGGTACCTTAATCAGTTTGTGTGAATAATATAATGTACTCTAGTGGTGTGCTTTTTAAGAGTATTTAGTGCATATTTTGATATACATTGGTGTGTTTATATTATATCCTTGTGGTGCATACGCAGGAGTTTGTTGATGAGATTACTAGCAACACAAGGACAATTGCAACAAGTTTACTGAGAATATCCAGACTGATTGAAAATGCACATGCTGCCGTTTTGGAACATCATACATTCAAGCAAGTTTTTGAGTCTGCTAGACAGATGCTAGGATTCAAAGCACAGGAAGATGGACAACTGACATTTACCCAAAGAGAAGACGCCTACTGGAGTGACGCTGAGTTTCTGAAAGCAGTTGATGAGATTGTACGTGCGGTAAACAAAAGGAATTTCCTAAAATGATATACCCTCTTTCAGCCTGGGATTGTCACAGGATGAACCAAACAAAGGCTGGGCAGATGTGAGTGATATTGCACGTGACTACCAGGATGTTAACGAAGCTGATGAGCCTGCTGAAGTTCAGTTGGGTGTGGATGAGGATCAAGCAGCAGACAGACCTCAAGAATGCACTGAGACAGCTCAACAAGAACCCCTATCTGACCAACATAAACAGGCTTTGCATGAGACTCGCGCGGATGACACCAATACTGAGGTAATGAACTATAATAAATCCAACATTAACACACTATAAAAACTTATGCTCTCACCTTTAAATATTACAGATCACACCAGAATGCCAAGGGCAGCCAGCCCCTGCATCAAGTCCACCCCCCCCCCCCACCCCCACCAGCAGACAAGGGAAAATGCCCAGCTAGAGTGCATAGCCCAATTGCACGAAGACCCATCACATACGTGCTAGACATTGACACACCATTAACTGCAACAGAGGAAGCTATCAGGCAGTGGGTATTGGAAAACCCTAATCCAGATCTGTAAGCACAACACATTCTAGAAACAATGGTGTGCTGTTTATATATATTTGGTGCATTATATAATGATGTTGGTGCATAAATATCCTATGCACATTGATGTGTTATTCTATGTGATATTAGTGTATACTATGTTAACTGTTGGTGTGTTTATACTAAATGATAAGTGACTGATTGTGTTTTACACCTAACATATTTCTTTTGTTTCAATAGGACCCAAGAACTATTCAAGTATGAAGGAAGGGTAATCCACTGGAAAGATATGCTGTCAATGAGGCCAGATTCACAGATCCCAGTCTCTATAATTGATGCTTGGGCAGCCATAATCAACATCCGTGAGTCAGAAAGGGGATGTACAAAGTTCATTGCTTCATTGTGGACAACTGTGAGTTGAACATATAAACCTAGCTTCAACTTTAACAAGCTTACAGTTCTAACAAAAATACCCTTACAATTTGCAGTTGTTCACAGTTGTGGACCCACAAGAAGATGAGGACGTTAGATTTGCAAGATTCAAATCAAAGTACCTTGCAGACAAACTCATCGCAGGCGACGTTAGGTGGAACAACATTCTATACGTAAGATATTAATATACATTTGGTGCATGCTATTGTTTATCTATTTGTGGTGCATTACTAACCATCCTTGGATTCATACTAACCCCCGTAAAAAACATATCTTTTTTCTATAACAGTTTTTGTTTCCAATTATATCATGCAACCACTACTACCTGCTTTCCATTAGCCCAATAATGGAACGATTTGACATTATTGACAACTCTTCTGTCACTGTGAAGAAAGAAAACAAGTATGGGACTGTGCTTGGAAATATGGTAACACACTAAGCCCTGACTGATTACATATGTTTAATGCACAACTACAACAAAAAATGCTCAGATTTGTATTACTTGATGCAGCAAAAATTCTTGTCAAGGTTCTTGTCTGACATGAAATCCTCATACAAGGCTGAGAAAGTGAACAAGGTGAAATCTAAGATAATGAAAATGCCTTGGAGAGATGCACACAACAAGGTGGATTGTGGCATCTTTCTCATGCGCCATTTAGAGACTTTCCGAGGGCAGACATATGATCAGTGGCAGTGTGGACTTCAGAAGGACAACAAGGATCAGTTGAACAAGCTACGAGTGCGATACATGGCTGCCCTAATCATGTCAGACTTAAATGAACACAAACAGGGGAACATTCAGCAGGAAGCAGAGTTCTGGGTTTGAGCAGGACGTTAATCTGGAAGAAAGACAATGTGAATATCTCTGACTTGACAGGTTTTTTTTGTGGTTTGTGATGACCAGTAGTAATTTTTTGTGATGCCAGACATCTAATGTGACATCTACATGTGTTCTTTTTGCGCTATAACAATGCACCATATGATATAGTAAAACGCACCATGATCTATTCTAAAATGCACAAATATTTCTGTATTATAAAATGTCTACTTACCTGTAAAATACACCAATCACACAAGTAAAACACACACCACTGTTATTTATTATAATCAAAGTGACATGATTCAGAATACACTATTCTGAATGTAATATACACTACATTTAACCCCATGAATGCATGGTTGAATATACATAAATATGCACCACGATATGCGTGAAAACGCAAATGCACAATACCAAACACATTTCAAAAAACCTGATTCTCTGGTATGAAATACCTGCATACCTTTAAAATACACCGATCACACAACTAAACACATATCAATGTTATTTATTATAATCATGTTACATGATTCAGAATACACCATTCTGAAATAAATATACACTACATTCAACACCAGGAATACAGCGTAGAATATACACTAAAAATGCACCACGATATATCTGAAAACGCACCATTATCTATTATAAAATGCACATGTCCAAATACATGCACCGTGATCTATTTTAAAACGCACAAATTCAACAATGTCTACAAAATCCGGATTCTATGGGTTATAAAATGTCTACATAACTGTAAAAACATCAAATTCCAAAATACAGACCAACTAAGAAAACAACACACAACTCTAGCCATTTAATGGGCACGTCCCACTATTATGACCATATTCATCACAAGTATGACATTTCCTTGATTGCTTTACACACTTATTCACAGCTTTCTCCCTTGCACTCTTCATCCGCTTCCCGCCGCCCTTGTTCTGAACTTTAATTGGATCACGAACCTCCACTGTTGACCCCTGAGACACATCACCACAAAATGATTTAATCACACTTTCTTTGCTGCTACCAGCTACCCCATTGTCATCCTCACACCCATCTTTGATAAAAAAAACTCCCTTTGCTCACAAATAACACGTCTTAGTTGTTCCAACCGTTCTACATTACCATCAGCCAATCCCACGCAAGCATAAATTTCAGACCACATTAGATTAGTAATCACCCTAACATTATCCACTTTAGCCGATTGATCAACAACCGTATCATCAATATCAAATATTGGCTTCAAACAAGCAACCTTTGTCTACCGAGACACCAAATACATAGAAGGAATTCTCTCAAGTCCACGATCTTTAAACACAAAAAAAATATGCCTACACACCAACCCCATCCGCTCAAACATTTTGCATGAACATATAGCAGTACAGTCAGCCAACAAAAACTCCACACACCATGCCTTCTTGTCACCATCTTTTATCCCATAGCACACCTTACCATCGCACTCACACAAAGACACCACTCGACAAGAAAAACAACCTTCACAAATCTCTACTTGCACATCATAAAATACAGAAATGGTATAGACATCCATTGCATGTTTCTCCAGCGCCAATGGAGTCTTCAAAACAGGAAAGCATGATTCAGAGTCAGCAGTCAATTTTGCTTGGGCATGTCGTTGTGCACTAATAGCACTATCAAAATGCACCAAAAACTCAACCAAACTAGAATGACCATTGGAGAAACTGCAAAAAAAAAAACTATTTTGAGACTCTGATCGAGATGTTGTCCTAACAAATCCCGACATAAACTCATCATGAAAGTATGGAGATGCCCAAAATGTACGAGACTCGAACAAGTAACGAAACCAACCATTATCAACCAAACCATATTCCTCTATGATACGACTCCATGAATCCTCAAAAGCTTTGGAATCTATAGATTTGTTCCAAACAATGCCATTCAACTTCCTCCTAAACACCTCGTCCTTAGCTAAGACCGGTCCAACCTTCTCACCAACCTTGCACATTATATGCCACATGCAGAATCTATGTTTTGATGTACCAAACACACGAGCAACTGCAATCTTAACAGCTGGATCTTGGTCAGTAACGACACAAATAGGTTCATGACGCATGGTTTTCTTAAATCTCTCCAAAAGCCAAACATATGAGTCTACGTCTTCCCTCGTAAGTAAACCAGCACCAAATGTGATGGATCTCTTATGGTTATCAATTCCAGTAAATGGGACAAACACCAAATTATACCTACAGAATGCACAACCCAACAACTACTGAATACATTAAATATAACAAAACACACTATATGAAATAAAAATATGCACCATACTATTATACAGAATACACAATAACTATAAATTACTAACCTGTTAGATCGGTATGTAGCATCGAATAAAACAACATCACCAAACAATGCAAAATTCTTCCTTGATACTGCATTTGCCCAAAAAACCCTTGTAAGCTGATCAACGTCATCAACATCATATTCAAACTCAAAAGTCTCGCACAATTCACGCCTTTTAAAAAGCGTATCTATGAATAGTTGAGCATCACCATTCAATATGTATGCCATCAAATCACGCTTGAAATTCTTAAAATCCACCCCAGTAGCACCAACATTGGAATACTCACCAACAATCTCCTTAAACAGCTTATAGGACCGAACATACCCAATATTTGCCCGAACACAACTTGCAATGAACATTTGATGGCCAGCATCAAGACTACGATTCACCTTTAAAAACTGCTTAGCAATGATTGAACACATCACATGAGTGTGTCGTTCCTCCAAAAAATGCACAACAAACAGTCCATTAGACTTACGCTTAAACACCACTTTAGCCTTGCACCCAACCCTATTTGTCACCCTCCGTCTCTTCACAACAATGGGCTTACCATCACCAACACACGTAGATTGCGTACTATAAATACTCTTTTTAAACCCCTCTCGACTACAGAATACCTGTCTCTCCACAACAACACCATCCCTCCTCCTTCGAATTGTACCCTGTCTACAATCAAAACCAACATACCCAGCATACCGTTTATAAAAAACAATAGCACAATCCAAGGAATCAAACGTTTGCCCCACAACAGGCTTCAAACTATCACTGCAAACTGGACGCCAATACTTAGTCAACCCAGGAGACATTTCCAAAACAAATGCATTGTCTTCTGCCTCAACGTCAGTCAAACAGTGTTCACTGGCGCCCTGACCACTAGTCTCTACAGCAACATCGGTTGAATTCCCTTCATCACACTGACCCCCACTTCCTTCTACACTACCATCAATATGATCACCATCAGTGGAATGCTCTGTATTGCAGACACCACCACTGCCTTCTACACCAGCATCAATTGACGTATCTTTATCACAAATGAAACCCACCGGGTCCAAATTAATAGCTGCACACCATGTATATATAATAACACACTAAATAACCAATGCATGACATCTAGTAACTACAAAACACATACAATACTATACTAACTTAATATGCACCACGAAGATGCAACTTTCACACTATATTCAGACAATAACACACAATATCGTAACAACAACAGTGACTTATCTCACCACCAGAAAAATATCAAACCAGATAAAAAAAATGATATAAAAACATCCATTACATAACAAACGCATATTATTATGAACAAATTAAAACTACAAACATCAAATAAATCAACACATACCATGATAACCTTCATCACAAACACCGCCACTGCGATCCACCCCATCATCATTGGAATGCCATGTATTGCAGACACCACCACTGCCTTCTACAACAACATCAATGGACGTACCTTTAACACAAACAAGCCCCACAGAGTCCAAATTAACAGCTGCACACCACATATATATAATAACGCACTAAATAACTCATGCATAACATCTGATACCTACAAAACACACACAACACTATACTACCTTAATATGAACCACGACGATTCAAATTTCGCACTGTAATCACACAGTAACACACAACGTCGTACAACAACAGGGACTTATCTCACCCCCAAGAAAAAATATCAATCCAGATAAAACCGATATAAAACATCCATGACATTACAAACGCATATTATTATGATCAAAATAAAACTACAAACGTCAATAAATCAACACATACCATTCTCCATCGCACAAAAAATCCCTTATTGCGATATCTCAAACTGCCCGGTATACTCAAATTGCCCTATCAACTGATCTTCGTCGACCTTCTCCCACTTGCGATGCGATCGCGACCGTGATCTTCCCGAAATTGCGATATGATCGCTATCTTGATCTTTTCTTCACCAAGTTGCCGATTCTCTCCGAGTTTAAATATATAGAACATAACAGAATACAAATTACCTTATATACATTCACGTAACCATGTAAACAAAATTACATAACTACCCCCACTTGCCAAAACGCGAACAAATCTTCCTTGTTTAAAAAAATAAGCCTCTGCCGTTAGATTGCCTTGATCCAATGGTTCAAATATAACCACACTGCCACACCTAATTACACTGCCACATTTGAGCGCTTTTCTATATATATATATATATATATATATATATATATATATATATATATATATATATATATATATTGTTAATTAAAAATAAAGAGTTTCGATCTTAATAAAATAAAATCTTAAATATTTTGTAAAAAAAAAAGACCAGGTCAATATTGACATTTTTTTTTAATGATGTGGCATCTTCTCCTTCATTGCCGATGCATCAAATATTAATCTTTGTAAATAATCTAAATATAGAGTTCAATAATTGTGAATATTGTTATAAAACCTTGTGTGGACATTATTCTAGCTTTATATTGATCATAGGATTCTTCATACTGTAAGATTCCTAATGCTGTAAGAGTAGGCTATTATGATAGAGATTATATATATCATTGTAATGTTGTACAGAGATTGATGATGATAATAAGAAATATTTTTCTCTTGTCTATTCTCTATTCTTATTTTTATCCAGCTCGTTATAAGCACTTTGCTCTATTCTTATTTTTATCCAACATGTTATTAGCACTTTGCTCTACATATTCGATGATGAACAGATGTGAGTGATACTGAAATCGAACAGCGAGAGCTTAACCCCTTGGATCGGTTCTTCGTTTCAATCTCGGAATACCTGGATTGGATGAATCGTATTTACCGATCAAGATAGATAAGGTACGCATTTAGTTCGTTGTTATTGTTGAATCAGTTTGCAGGCTCTGATTCGTCAACCATCACTGCAGCCCAGTTGTTCTGATGGGAAAAGGGTAAAGCAACTAAATCCTCTCCCATATATTGAGGTCAGCCAGTGATATATATATATATATATATATATATATATATATATATATATATATATATGATTGCACTGCATGTATTGGTTGAAATTGAAAAGTAAAAGGCATCGAAAGCTAGAGTTTGGATCAGGAATCTCCTAATTAAAGCTAAAACTAAAAGCTAAGTGTTCTGATAATTTCCCTATAAAAATATATATGTATAGTAGTGCGTGTCTTTATGCAATTGATTATTTGGTGCAAGTCAACATATGAATCCATCTATCTTAATCTTGTTTGATGTTAATACTTTGATAATAGATATATTCTGATTTAAGATTTTAAGCATGTAGTTGGAATATTATAATAACTACTTGTCCATCAAATAATTAGCTTAGTGCATATTAGCTTACGTAATTCAGATTGAATTGGTAGTGTTGGTTTGTACAACCTTGATGGCTGCGCTGCTCGGCAGGTCAACACTACCGAAAAGAAAGTAATGATCTTCTATGAGATAGTGAAGATAAAGATGAATCAATAAAGAGAGAATAATGCGGTGTTATTATTTCTCCTAGGTTTGGCCCTCGAAGTGCCGACCAAAGTCCTTTACATGATAATCCGGGGGATATTTATTCATCTAGGAGTTCGCATATGGTAAGTAGGGTTGACACAAGGCCTAACCTAGTGGGGAATAGGGCTGACGTAAGGGTTGACGTGCTGTCAACTTACTGCCTTTTCCGTCTGAACTAACTAAGGAAGTTGCCTAATGTGCGAAGATTGCTTCCGTAGAATCCGCTCGATGCGTTACTGGGGTGTGCCCGGCCAGGAATGGTCCTGACTGCGCAGAGAGCTTTCTTGGGTACTTGCCCTTAGATAATGACATCCCGTCCGTAGGGCCTGGTCGGCCAGCTTGGTCCCGGGAAAGTGTTTGATCAGAGGCACGCCGCCCGACGTAACTGGTCGTCTAACCGTATTTCTTCTGCGAGCCCGCCCGGGGATACACCGGCCGGTGGGTTGGCCAATTAGGAGTGCTCGACGGCCACCACAAGGCGCTTCCACTGCTGGAATTCTGCATTTTTCCGACCACCGAAAAGTGGTCGGAAAAGGGTGATTTCCGGTCGGAAATGCAATTTCCGACCAACTTACCGACCATTTTGTGGATTCGGAAAAAAAACCCACGCTATTACTGACAACTAGTCAATGTGGTCGGAAATACCGGTTTCTTTTTTAGGAGGTCGGAACAATTAGTTGTCGGATAAAAAGAGCATATTTCCTACCACTGGTGGTCGGTAATTGGTCGAAATTACCATCCACTAGTGGTCGGTAAGATTTACAAAGAAAAAATTAAAAAATTTGAATTACCGACCACTAGGTGGTCGGTAAGATTTACTAATAAAAAAAAATTTTAAAATTCTACAAATACCAATGGAAGGCAATTTGGCTCAATTAAAATTTGATTACATGATCGATTAAAATACTAATCTCTTTGAGCTCAATTGGGTAATAGGGATAGATAACCTTATCGTCAATGTATGTTCAACCTTTGCAACCTCTGCAAGGAGCCGAACTTCATCAATGAAAGGCAATTTGGCAATGCCCTTGACATCAAGAAATATTTTAATTCAGTTGCATGATAAACATCACAGAAGATATCCTTTCTCAGAAAGCAAAATTATAAATGTTTTAATCAATACCTGCCAAGAAAACCTCTTGCCATTCATGTCCACTTCAAAATCTACAAGCATAACAACCATATAAACACAATTCCATTACGTTTAAAAAAAATGAATACATTAAGCGATAAAAAATACTAGTGGGATAAAAATCAATAGTAGACGAGTTTGGGTC